AACCATGATGGAGCAGGGGGAACAAGTTCCAGAAGCTCCCCCCACCGAAGATGGATGAAGCAGCAGCACTGCCTGCACCCCCCCCATTCCCTGCCCCCGCGCCACTGGGGGAGGAGGTAGAGATATTGGGAGCAGAGCTGAGCCTGGGAAGAAGAGAGGGGTGGGGGGAAGGTGTTCTCAAGATGTGGCAATGCTTCTCACTGTCCTACTCTGTTACATGTTATTAGTGTCTGTAATAAATTTATGTTCTTTTTTTTTTTTCTTCCCTTAACGAGTCTGCCTTTTGCTCATGACCATAAAGGGTGATTTTTCCCCATCCCAGTCCTATCTGTAACCCCAAGCCTGGCTCTCTGTCCCTTCTCATTGCTGGAAGAGAAGAGAGAGAGTGGCTGAGTGGTGTTTGGCTGCAAACCAGGCTCAAACTACAACAGTCCATCTCATATTAATGAGTTCAAAAGGGTTTATTTTTATATAGCCAGTGAGAAAATATTTGTAACTCCTCAAACCATATTTTGTAAATTTATTACAATTTCATGTACTCTGTTTAGTATATCTAATGATACTCATAAAATAAATATTAGTATCTCACAAATTCTTGTATAAAGATAAGGTTTTTTGTTAATTATTTAGTTTCCATCTGAACTGAAAGATTATGATTAGCATGATCTACATACCTCCAGAAAGCTATTGCACTAATGAGCAGGGTAGGAACTTTACAACAGAGGATAACTCAAGTGAAAATGAACAATTTAGGTGCCCGACTGCCTAACAGGTAGGCATACTATTTGTTGGTATCCTTAGAAAGATTGTGGGCCTGAAAAATGTCCAAGAATCTTTGTGAGTTTTGCCCACAGTTACTGCAGGATAAATTTTCAATGAAACCTCCACTATCTTCCATTACACACCTGGAAATGTCAGTTGCACTGTTAGCACAGTTAGTCTGTACACCACCTTTTAGAAAGATACATGGAGACAGAATATTAATTTGCCCATACTACCACAGAATCACAGGATATCTCAAGTTGAAAGGAACCCATAAGGGTCATTGAGTCCAACTCCCTGTCCTTGCAGGACTACATGCATACCATAAGCCTGTGAAAATTCTGTAATATTGAAATAATGTGTGTTCAGTGGAGTTAGGCCGGGCAAATATTCAATAGTAAACAACAGTAAACCACAAAGGAAATGTTTGTTATTTGAAAAACAGGCTCTACTGCAAGACAGTCTTTGACATCTTTGACTATAAGGCTATTTTACTAATACCTTACTACTAATACCACTCTCTCCCTCCACTATATTTTTTGCTAGAAAATTCTCCATTTACTTGTCAGCCTAACTTTTTCTTCTATGACTAACATTTTCTAGTAACAGCTATTTAAGAAAGCCCTCTGAGTTTAGATTGGGACTTTCCCCTTTCTCCTTCCCCAGCTAGGTACCTATCTCAACCAGCATTTTTAAGCTTCTCCCAAGCATAAGTTCATACACAAGAAAAAATAAAAACAGATTATTTTCCTTACAGTGGGACAAGTCATCTTTGTCCAGATTTCATTATAATTTTTTCTCATAGAAACCAGAAATGAAATCATAAACTTTTTCTATGTTACTCAAGCCTTCTGTAGGTAATACACAGAACCATGAAGTAATTTTACCTTTAAGTCATAGCTTGAGAATTTTCTAGCACGAAGTTGCATGAAATCACAAATAATTTGGAATACAGAGTTATTTCTCATTTAAAGGTGCTCTTGCAGCTCTCAGGAAGCCAACTTAATATTAGAAAAGCCATCACTAATATTTGCTTATTATAACCCTGCTCAAAGATTGTGTAGCATGCCTGGAGAAAATCATGGCATCCCTGGAGTATGCAAGTCTCTAAACAATGACACTTGGTGTTGTTCACTGGCACCTTCCTCGTGGCATTTCTGAAGGATGTATGATCCTCTTGCATCATACTTTTTTTGGGATTCAGGTCTTAATTAACACTTGGAGTCATATTAGCCCCAACAGCAAAGCCCTCTGTGCAGTCATTACTAACAGTTCCATTCAACTCCACTCCTGAATTCAGAGGAAATGTGACCCCACAGATTTAAGAAGACTTAAATTTCAGATAAATAATTCAGCTTCACTAGATAAAGTTTACAAAATGCCAGCATAAAGATAGTCCTTGAAATAAGAATAAAGAGAAATACATATGGAAGATAAAGAAATGCTCTTAGTAGAAAGTAATAGTTCAGATGGTGGAGATAATGAGTAAGTGTCTCCCGCGTATAAAAATAATCTAGAGGAAGGTTTAAAATCAGAAGTCATTGAATGTTCTGATATAAATCTGAGATAACTACAAATAGAAAAGTCAGTATAAATATCTGAGCCGTTAGGAGCTCTTAAGGTCAGGCAATAGCACAACAGAAACCAACATGAAGTGATGCAAAATTAATAATCACGTAGAATATGCGTCAGCAAAGAGATCTGACTAGGTCTGAAATTAATAAAAGGGTATTTCTCCCCGTAAGTAATACTTTTTAGGCTTTTTTCTCTTTTCTTTTTTTTTTTTTTTTGGTTCGACTAAGCCCCTGGGTATGTAAATATACATCAGAAATACATCATTGATCAATATTTAAAGGATGTCAAATCAAATTCAGTTGTGTGAAGTGATGGGGAGGGGGAAACAAAGTTATTTCCACCTATTTGGGGATGAATTTCACTCTGCATGAAGTGACAAGATTGATAAAGATGTCATCAGAATTCTTGCTAACTTGCATCCTAAAATGGTTGCATGCAGTTAAAAATAATAAGTATTGTACATTCATTGCAGCACTGGTAGTAATGGCAAACCCAAACATTAAAGATATAATGAGTCACATCCTCCAAAATAATAAAATTGGTTTTAAAGTCATAAGTCTTTAGCAACTAATACATCTGGAAGACTTTTTATTTGCCTTCAGGATGCATTGACATTGACTTGATCCTTAAAATTCTCTGAGAAGTTCTGAAGAAGACTGAAGACTACAAGATTTCTTTTTTTTTTTTTTTTTTTAAAAAGAGCACCTGAACTGAAGGAACATCTTTCCCCTAATTTAATTTTCTTTTACACCAGGGAACTGAATCATATTACCCTTTTCAAAAAGTGACCATGGGCTTGCCTAAAATGAGGTAGGTACACGTCTTTGTACACTTAAGTACACTAAAGTAAACATGAGACACTTAATTTTCTTAAAATTTTAAGATCAAACCACCACAGACACACACAAACCCCTTTATTCTTGAGTCTCGAGGTTTGGCTGTGATAACTTAAAAACATCAGGCTTACACGAGTTGATGGAAAATGATAGAAAAAATGGTGTGCTCACAAAGGTCTGCAAATGACTTATAATATTTTGCAATAATAACACAAAGTCCACAAAATGTTACATAAACACAGGCCCACTGAATTAAAACAGGGAAACAAACAAAAAAAGCATGTCTATTTTACACTCATCTGACTGATGCAGAGAAGCTTTGGCCCGGGTAGCACTGATGTACATTCCGTGTTAGGAAAGCTGTGGGAACTGGAAGAGTGAACACCTGCTAAGAACAAAAGGCAGGAAAATGGGCACGTCCTGTGATACCTATGCACGGAAAATGGACTAAGCAAAATCTCATCACCTACAAGAAGGGTAGTCCTCAGGATAGCATGCAGCAGTAGTTTCACTCTCGGACTGATTCTTCAGCTGCATGAAACTGTACTGATAAAAGGACTGCTTGGGTGGGACTCATCTCCCCCAGCTTTACACACCTACAGTACAGACATTTACATCGAGGCTCCTCTGATAGAGAAAGAGAGAAGTAAGTACTTCTGGGCTGTAGTTCATCCCATTTTAAAGTCTTATTCAGAACATGTCAGGTCAATCCTGACTGAGAAGAGCCTATTTTATTTCACTGAACAAAAAAGGAGCTTAGGACGACCAGCTGAGTAGATGTCTACAGTTAGGTGAATTAATCCCTCTTTCTTCTCTCTTCCACTAAAAATGACATGCCTAAACTCATCTGCAAGTCTATGTGGATATGTAATTGCTCAGGGAATCCCAGTCTGCTGTTCCATCCTTTAAACCTATTCCTAATAGCTCTACTCCGTAAAAAGCATGTTTACGAATTCATCTGGATCTCCCCATGCATGTTTGGTCAGTATCTGCTAAAAAGCACTCTAAATTCTTAGCTGAATCAGAGTGATGTGAATAGGAATCAAAAAATGCAATTACCCAAGTTTGGTGTCTTATGGGATAGAAGAGAAAGGGACTGCTGGCAAAAGCACTTTAAAGAAATAATTTAAAGCATAAAGAATCATGAGGTTACAGTGCAGCATGGTCTTCACACTAATAGTTCAGGATTAACTTTGCTGATACAAAACATGATTGAAATACAGATTAAATTAGCAAATCAGAAATAGAATAGGTATGGAAATTAATCTGATTCACACATGGCTACATTTGTTGAAGGAAAATTAGTTGCTACCATTAAGGACTGAGTAACTAAAAAGATTGAGACCTAATATTAACAGATATAGTTAGCAGTAATACCAAAATGAACATCATGACTTCAAAGATATTATTGTTTTTAAATCAGACTTAAAAAAAAAATCTCTGCTTCTTGTTTCCCCAAGATCACTACTGACTGTAGAGTACAGTGATCTTCACGTCATAAACATTCATGTGCGTCACTTAGAAGAATATTTTCCAATCTATTTATAACCTGATTTGTTACTTGGCCATGGTTCCTAATTTCTCCGTCAATATTATAAACATCTGCCCTATGCCAACAAACTAATGAGTTCATTTTCTACCATGAAGACATGAGCCATCTTTCTACATGTCATGTCCTGTACACATCAGGCTGACACTGCCCATAACTGTATAGGCAGCAAAAAAAAAAAAAAAAAAAAAAAACAAAACACAATAAAAGCATGTTTCACTAATAAATAAAGATTTTTTTAAAATGCTGAATAGAAAATCTAACCCATTAGTACTCACCACCAAGGCTTTAGATCTGTTACTCAGAAGTTTTTCAATGTCTCTGGCTGCAATTTCCACTAGCTGACGAGGGTTGTTGGCTTCTACAGTATACAAATCTCTGTTTTTCAAATAAATCTGAAAGAGGAAAAAATTAAAATAAATTAAAATGGCAACATACATTCAAAATAAGCGAAGTGACTTGACAGAACAGGCTTCAAGATACCCTCTGTTCTTACTGGAGAGCTTCTGAAAGCCTGTTGCTAGGATCATACAAATGTGCATTGTGAAAGAAATGCTTCACCTTTTTTTCCTGAGAGGTAGAAGGTGCCACTAAAAATCATTTAATAAATCTTCAAAACTGTTTCTAGTGATGGACTGTTCAACTGCTAAATGCTCAAGGAATCTGATTCCCATAGACTGGTGAGAGAAAAGTAAAATGGAAATTCTTTACAATAACTGAAATCGAAATCAAATAGTTATTGCCGAATTTAATTCTTGCTTGAATGCTGAACAACGAACATACTGTTTGAAGTAAATCAATTAAGTTATGCTAATGTAATCAGTTTAGTCCCTTACCTATTTATTCATATTATAGTGTTAGTATTCATGAGAAAAAAAGAGGAAGAGGAAGAAAACAAATAAGAAAAGGGGAAAAAAGGGAAAAGAGAAAAAAAAGGGGAAATGGGGACAAAATGAAAGGGGGAAAAAGATAGGGAGAAGAGAGTAAAGGAACTATAATCATGTTTCTCCTCTGTCATGAATAAAGGTTAGATCTGGTGAGCAGTCATTAACTGTTTCCGAAGCAGAACATGTACATAAAAGAGATAATTTGATTGTTAAACAAAGACACTACAACCACAAGAAATAGAGAAGATAAAAGCAACAAGAAATCTATTTGCCTGTATCTGTCCTACTAGAACTGGATAAAGATAAAATACATTATTTGGGGTGATGGGGGGTGGGGGTGCACAAGAAAAAAGAAGTGGATACCTTATGGCTAGATGGGCAAATGGGGAAAACTAATTTATTCAACCAACAGATGGCCTGAGTTTACTCAAGTACTCTGCCTCTCCGCAAGGCTGCCTGGTGGGGGCTGTGCTGTCTCCTGGGGAGCAATTCCAGGCACAGGCAGGAACGGGTCCAGCGCTAATGCACTGGCTGCCATCCAGCACCAGCGCCAAGGAACTGCAGACCAGACTGAGTCTACCAGCCGCGCCAGGTTGCTCGGGTTAAAGCTATGGAGACCTTAAAGAAACTCACCAAAATATGTCTCTGGTGTTTGTAGCTGATGGGTATTTATCACAGATAGATTTCTGACAACTACAGTTATAGCTGTAAATTTTTATCAGGCATGTTTCATAAGCTGTCATAGGTTTTCATCACTTTTGAATTTCACAACACATGTGGGTTTGGGTTTCTTTGTTTGTTGGGGTTTTTTCTGTTGTTGTTTCTTGGCTTGGTTGGTTTTTTTTTGTATTTTTTCTTCAGTAGTTCAGTCTTTCCATCAGTAATTGAGTAATTGGAATATGCTTTAATTTTTCATATAGTAGCAATTATTTAAAAAAATCAGTGTATCATAAGCAGAAAACTACTACAGAATAAGATAAAAGAAGATAGTTTCTAATGAACTGAGATTATAGTTTGGATATTGTTGGGATGCTTGATTTGCTACACAGAAAGTTTATCTCCGGTATAACCCAAAATCTCTTTTTTTTTGTTTGTTTGGTTGGTTGGTTTGTTTTGAGGACAGATCTTAATAGTAGAAATTACTTACAGGTCAATTATTATTCAATTAAATTGAAAATAAGGACATTTTATCCTACAACTGATCACTACATAGTTTCCTAAATTTTTCTCTGAAACACATTAAATTTGCACAGCCAGCAGTGGGATTCAGAGTTAAATCAATTGCAGTGACCAGAAGAGTCTTACAGTCCTACAGGCAAGGCAAGAGTAGAAATCAGTTTTATAGATCCGATGGTTTGAATCAAGAATGGAAATTTCAGAGGAGAATCTAAATTGGAGTGACCCTCAAACCTGGAAAAACTCTCAGGTTTTCCCATCATCAGCAAATATTCACCCTGATCACATGAGGAACAGACATTGGTATATGGGTGTTGCCAAGTATCCATGTCTTGTTCTTTGAGGAGAAACGTGATGCCTAATTATTTAAACTTCATCCGTGACCCTGTGAAGTACACCTGCATCAAAACTTACTACATTTATAGAAGAATGGTGACAAGATTTTGCCAATAGGATAGAAAAATGTAAAATAACTTTCACCAAATTTTAAAAATAGTGATTTAAAAAATCATTTTAAAGCATTCATTTATTTTACTTGTGGAAAGTTTGGGATAACTTTGTTCAATTTTTTTCTGGTTTCTCTTTTTTTCAGACTTGTTCATGCAATTGCTTTTCATTTGTTACTCAACGGTGAAAGCAGTAAGAAAATGTAAATATAATCCCTTTTCATTTGAGAGTTTCAATTAGGCAAAAACATCTTAAAATTTGGACAAAGCAGTAGTTCATTACAAAATACCATTTTGTTGTAATTTAATTTTTCACTCAATATTATAAATAAACATTAAGAAGCCCACAAGTAAAAAAAAAAAAATACACAGTAGGGGCACAGGCAAGTATGTGCTTGAGTAATGCAGCTTTGAAGCAGATGGATGACAGGGATGACTTGGAGACTGTGCTGACCAGCTATACAAGGGCAAGTGCTGCAGTGCTGATTCCTTGACATCTTTCAGCCCTTAGTGAAATATGGTTTCTAACAGGCTGTTATGAAACAGCCTCGGCAGAAGTTAAGGTGATGGTGCACTGCATCCACACAACCATGATTTTGCACCCCACCATTCACAGGCACAATATAAATATTTTATTGGACTTAATCTTTAAATATAGAGCAAAGTTGCAGTAAGCCATACTGGTAAGGGATTGGATAGAAAATTTGCAGTTTTATCTCTGTATATAATCTGTTCTTATAACAAACATATGATCCCATAAACCCCAATTTAAAAGCAATCAATTTTTTCACACACCCCATTCCTATCGGGAAGCTGTTCCCATACCTCCAAGCTTGAATGGTTTGAAAGCTGCAGACTATCAAAGCATGGTCTAGGGTGTACATTTGTAGGAAAAAGTTAAACATTTTAATTTTTCTTCTCCAACACCAGCTATCAGAATAGTTCAAAAGCCTGAATCATTTAACAAGATCACCACCACAAGAGACAGGAGTCCTATTCATACTTCAACTTAAAAGCTTTATAACCATCATTGTTGGTCCTACCACTGAGAAAGCCTGACTCTGAGGCTGGCTTCACAAGCTGTTACTTGTCAGTGATTAAAAAAAAAAATAAGGAAAAAAAATTCAAAACAAGGTCCCACCCAAAAAACCCCTCTGAGTTTTGCACAAGGTCCCACTCAGAATTGAGTCAGTGACTCTTTCTCTGCCTCTTTGCTTTAGCCCATGACAGGGCTCAGAGCACCTATCTCCCCTGCTTCTACCACCCATGGAAGATTTATCCCACAAGCTCCTAAACAAAAGGCATCAGAAATAACTTGGAACTTCACACACTTCTTTATTTTTCTGAAGTGTCTCAAGTACCAAGGAACAGTGTAATAAATATTCACTAATTATTTAAGAGGTGTGTACATAATTTATTTGTTGCCTGCTCCCCTGTTCTTTAATTCAGCCATAGCACTGCAGCAGTTCAGTACAACAACACATGGGGAAATGATACGCGCTTCAGGATTTGGCACCCTGTGACAAACTTTTTCTTCTCCAAGCCTCCCACCTAGCAGTCAAACACAATTAGCAAAAGCTCATCTCAAATAGCCATAAAGGGTCTTATCGGCAAAGGTGTGCTCATTCCTCTTTCAAAATGCAATTTGGCAGGCTCCATGGCTTGTTAAGAAGAGCTAATTTGAATACACTTTATTAAATTGCTTTGACCGAGTGAATGCAAGTTTTTGTTGGCTTTTACATCTAAAACTGTTTTTAGTACTTTAATCACTAATGTTTTGCTAAAAGCTCTCCAAATTGTCAGTAAAACCCTGCCACTTCTCACAGAATAAAGCCTCATTGCATGACTAAGTAAAATCTGTAAGGCCATAGCACAAAAAATACTTTAATTTTTCTCTGAAATCAATAGCGATGCACTTCTTTATTCAGACAAGAATGTATTAAAATTGCTTTCTAAATGCTGAATACTTATTCTGGTACAATGAACTGCAAGGCTTTAGGGGAGAGAATATGATGGGGAGAGCCACATTAGGATGAAACAACACAAGGACAATAGTTGAATGTGGTAAAGTTTAGAAAAACTGCCAGCTCCTCAGCAGAACATGCCCCTCTCCACTCAGTCTTCAAGGACATGTTTATAAATCTCTCACAAAGAGACATTTTCCTTGCTTTCTATAAGACTCACAAGGGTAAGTCAAACATTTCTGTACAAATTGATAGAGAATGAAAGATGTACCTTCATTGTGTGCCTCTTGCTACATTGTGGCAGGCATTGGGGCCCACAGTAACATTGACATTTTATTTAAATGGCTCTCATTCTTTATTACACTCAGAAAAAGTTTCTGAGAGTAATAAACTTTCTGTGCTTTGGATCTGTGGTCTTGGCACTGTTTACACAGACTACCCAAAAAACAAGGAATAATAACTCATGTTGAATTATTCGAAACTATAATAGAATTACTTTGCCTGGTTTTTATTTGTTTGTTTTGAAACTGTCAGTCTCCCAGTTTAAGAAACAATGGAGTCTTTTCTTCAGGCAGTGATAACCTGGTTGAGGGCCCAAACATGAGACACAGACATGTCAGTCTCAGTTCCATCACCAAATACTTTAATGGACACAGAAATCATGAGACAAGATCTTGAGAAGTTCAAACGCAGAATTTCAAAAGTTAAGCAAAAACTCTGTAACTTTTCCTACCTTGAAATATGCTCTGGAACAGAGAAACAAAACAACTCAACAATTCCAGTAATACCTATATTGTTGTTTTCATTATTTCGATACTACTTTCAAGATCACTTATCTCAGCTATGTTGATGAGACACCTCTGTCAACAATCAATGCTTTATAATCAGTCTAGACGAGTAGGAGATTATCATGATGGTAAAA